TCAGTATCCTGAGCTTGCTCATATACACATCATCCTGCACCGTATCGGTCCGAGAGATCATCTTCACAGCGACGACGAGCGCGAGACGCGTGGCCAAGGAAACGTTTTTCGAATCATCACCGAAGAATGGCGATCCTCACAAGTCCGCGATTTCGTCCGCATCCTAGATCTCCTGCACCTCGCATCAAGATTTGGTGGAGATGGAATCCTGGTTACCGACGGCGATAGTGGGCTGGATCCGCTGCGACTGCCATGCGAGCGCTTAGTGAGAGTGGGATCGACTCCGGTCGTAGGGCACGCTTCGGTTGGCTTGCCTGAAAACTTTTATGATCCACAGTGGCTCTCAGCTCGGTCGGAGCAGGAACTCGCCTTGCTGGATGTCCAGGATGCTGTAGACTTGATGTTGCCTGAGTATATCGTCAGGTGAGCCATCAGTATACATGTCCAATACTGCTTGCTCGTTCACTGACCACAACACTCCAGGTATGCGGCTCGCGCGCTTGGCTTACTGAGAGTCGATTGCGATGGCCGGATTGGATGGAGAACTCTTCATATTGGCGAAGAAGAACTGCACCTGCTACGCCGCTACCTTCGTACGGGTCAACGCCCGGGAGCCCATTATGGGTTATCGCCATCTGAGGTGAGTTATTAGCGTTTTTCCTTTTCAATGTCTCTTGAAGCTGACGAAACATGTAGGCATAGTCGCAGGAAAGGGAACTCGTCGTGCTCGCGAACTGGTATGCATGTATTGCTTCGATTATGGTTATCTCACTGGTTGTATCTGCTGCTTCTCTACCTTCTCTCGTGTTATCTAAGATCGTCTATGTATTCAGCTAGTCGTGTAAACTCTTATAGTATGGCAAGTCCTGTGTGAATGTGCGTGCCTTGGCGTCTTGTTGTCGCTCGAGTTTGCTTCAGGCCTCTGAGAGTTTTTCGTCCCGCCCTCCTCCCTTTCTGCTCAGGCAGAAACAATAGCGCTTCGGCTTTGCGCTGGTGGTGCTGTCTGGGCTCCGGTCTCCCCTCGAGATCGCACCCGTACGAGTGCATCTCCCGCGTGACGCAGCTCGAGGCCCTGGTCGTGCGCGCGTGCCAGTCCGCCCCCGCGAATCCCGGGCGTGGTTTACGGACGCGTCTTCAGCAGGTCACGTGACCGCGTTTTTGGCCCGCGCGTCGGCCTTCGGCCTCAACCCACCCTCAGCAAGTACCTAGAGATAGGCACTCGCTACAGAGGCCCCACATACTCTTCTACACACAGCCCTATCTAGATAAGTACTACTCTCGAAGGGGGGGGAGGGTCCTTCGGACCTCCCTCCCCTCATAACCTCCCTCCACAAGGCCGCGGTAAACCCGCCGGACCCGTATGAGCGACCCGCAGCTTGCACTGGGTAGAGCGCCTATAGTGGAAGCCATTGCACGCCACGAATCATGTATTCTTCACCATCGCACAGAGTCTCCTTCAGCGCGGGGCTAACGTGAACGCACGCACAGAGGGGGATATACCGCTCGCACTCGCAATGAAGCGCCAGCTTTTGGAAAGACAAGATGCTGCTGGCACTGGGCTACTGATAAGCGAGCTTCTCCTGTCATCAAGCAACAACTTAGGATGACCAACCCCTACTACTGCGCCATGGACTAGCGGACCGG